TCTCCTTGTAAGTCATGTGCCCCAGCCCCCTAATCATTTTCGTTGCCCTCCACTGGACTCTCTCCAATTTGTCCACATTCTTTCTGTAATGGGGGGGCCCAAAACTGAGAGACCCTGCATCAAACACCAACATGTAGTCTCTATTCCATTCTATTAAGGTTTTTATACCATTCTCAACACCATAGTGATGACACTGAGAAGCATGTGCAGTGGAGAGTCTTGTTTTGGTATTGTGATTTTTTAACATACCCGTTGCTCTGTGTTTACATTAGAGGACAAGATCAAAGAAATGCACCTTGTACTTAGAGCAGAAAGTGGTGCAGTTTGTGATGGCGCTTATTTCTTGGAGGAGTTCATCCTGGGCTCTTTGACTGCCAGGTCATAGCAATGCTGCTAGATACACCTACTGAAATTAACCTGTGACAGGTGCATCAGTTCTTAGTCTGTCCAGGGTAAATGCAGCCTGTTCTCCTCTGTTAGGTTTTTGTGCTCTCTTGTGATCACATCAGTTCATGCACCAGCTCAGCTTGTTTTTTATACCTGGGTGCTAGTTCAGTAGCCCCCACATAGGCAGGGCAGGCTCCCCCAAACACACAATGTTACACCACAAAGGGAAATGGTGCAAGTTTGAAGCCAGTGGCCCCTAGACAAGAAAGGCCCCATCTTACATTACTCAAACCCTGCGGTGGCCAGTCCCCCAGGACCTAGGGCCAGATTGTAACCGGCATCCTGGGTGCAAGGGGAGAAGTGACTGGAGATCTAGAACAAACACAAGAGGTCAGGGAGTAGCTTATATAGCTCATTTGAAATATTGCATACCCAAGAGACCTTATTAGAAAGTAGGGTTTAAGTGGTATCAAGTAATAACAGACAGGACATAGTAAGTCACAAAGCAAAATAAAGCAAAAACATTCAAGTCTAAGCCTAATACATTAAGAAATTGATTACAGGTAATATCTCACCCTCAAAGATGTTCCAATAAGCTTCTTTCACAGACTAGACTCCTTCCTAGTCTGGGCCCAATCCTTTCCTTGTTAATTCCAGCAGACATCTCATGTGGTAACCAGGAGTTTTCTCATGACTGGCCACCCCTTCGTCCTGCTCCAACCACCTTTTATAGCTTTCACACAAGGCGGGAGTCTTTTATCTGTGCTTGGTCCCCACCCCCACCTCTCAATGGAAAAGTACAAGGATTAAGATGGATTCCAGTATCATGTGACATGGTCACATGTCTCAGAGACCTCATTCCCCATTACCTATGGGCTGGCCCACACCTACACAAGAAGGCTTTCAGGTAAATAAGGCCATTTACAATCAATTGTCTGAGTCAATGGAAGCCATCAAGCAACAGAGATTCACTTGCATCTGAAGAAGTGAGGTTCTTACCCATGAAAGCTTATGCTCCCAATACTTCTGTTAGTCTCAAAGGTGCCACAGGACCCTCTGTTGCTTTTTACAGATTCAGACTAACACGGCTACCCCTCTGATACTGGAAGCCATCAAGTTTCTAAACCACCATTAATGGCCTATACTTTGCATAATTACAATAGGACCTCAGAGTTATACTTCATATTTCTAGCTTCAGATACAAGAATGATACATGCATACAAATAGGATGAATCTATTCAGTAGGTTATAACCTTTGTAATACCTTACAAGAAACCTTTTGCATAAAGCATATTCCAGTTACACCATATTCACATTCATAAGCATATTTTCATAAAGCATATGGAGTGCACCATCACAATAGTAATGTATACTAATAATCAAAGATAATGTATACTAAAAATGTCAAATCTTACTGGTAGCATTATTTAATTCACCCTTTTCCACTATACAAAAACAAGCAGACATTCAATGAAAATGAAAGGCAACCACAGTGTAAAATTTGCCATCAGAACTCATTGCCACAAGATATTTATTAAAGCCAAGAGCGTAGGAGTATTCCAACAAGGACTGGAGTTTATATGGAGAATGAGAACATTCCAATTTGCCATAGTAAGGACTAAAAACACACACAAAAGTTTGACAGGGCTATACATGCTCCTGCTTCAGGGCACGATTCAATCACAAACAGATAGGGGTTAGGACAGGAACTTCCCCCATGGCCAGGCTATTACATCATTGTCAGCTAGGGGGGTTTCTTATATGTCCCTCTGAAACAGCTGGATCCAAGGGAACCGGAACAAGGGGGGCCGGGAATCCATGGCCTCATCACTTTTCATCTACTGTAAGGTTGTGCGATGGTGTGAGGAGGCAGGTTCAAGGGGAAGGGGTGGGGGTGGCAGGGTAGGGGGAAGGGTCCCAGTTCAGGTGCCAGTGGCCCCACACACTTTTAGGGAGCCTCTGTAACTCCTGGCTGGAGCTCACTATGGTTGGAAACAAGACACTGGGCTAGAATGAACTCAAGTTTGAGTCAGTCTGACAATACTTATATTCACAGATTAAAAGACCAGAAGGGACACCAGTATCATATAGTCAGACCTCCACTATAACACAGGCCACAGGACTTCCCTGAATTAATTCCTGTTTGAAGTAGATCGGATCTTTTGGAAAAAAAACATCCAATTTGATTTAAAAATTGCGAGTGGTGCAGAATCCACCACAGGCCTTGGTGAGTTGTTCCAATGGTCAATTACCCTCACTGTTACAAATCTGCAGCTTATTTACAGTCTGAAAATCAGAAGAACTGAAGAGATACAGCATTGGCTGGAAACTGAACCCAGATCAACTGCTTGTACGGCACCGTTCTAACTGCTGCACCACCAATGCTCTTGTTTTTGTATGAAATATCCTTTGTTTAGCAATAAAAATAGCCTCAAACCATTAACACCAACACACCAGTGCACCTTGGGAACCAAATACATGCAACAAATTAAGATGCAGACACTATTTTGGTAATGAGACACTGTACCAATAATTAAGAGTAGACAAGGCACCAATAGACTGTAATGGAGAATTTCAGGCAGCAGAGGGGGATAGTGTGCTTGTTTAGCAAGTTTAAAGCTCTAACAAGAATATAAGATCATGAACACAGTTGATTTGAAGAGACAAGTCCTGCCTGGGGGTCACAGCTAGTCCTTGGGATGCCAGCGACCCTTGTTGGAGGGATGGTGTAGGGCAGAGCGCCTGGATGGAAAGGGGCTACAGGCCTGACTCCAGGTATGAGTGAGGGACTCTCCAGAGCCAGATAGAGAGGGGCTGAAGAACAGGGTCAGAGACTGGGGTCCCAGGTGAGGTTCCCCATAGCACAAGGCCTGGAGGCCAGGGGAGAGTTTTGGTGGATATGAAAACCTGGGAATTGGCGACAGGGCATGAATCACTTGATGATGACCTGTTCTGTTCATTCCCTCTGGGGCACCTGGCATTGGCCACTGTCGGAGACAGGATACTGGGCTAGATGGACCTTTGCTCTGACCCAGTATGGCCGTTCTTACGTTCTTATATTCTAACAGTAAATCCAACAACACCCCTACCTGCTCCAGGAGCGGATGCTCAGAGGAAGGAACCAGAAACCACACCAGCCTATTCAGCTACCACCATAACGCTGGGCTGGGCTTCGTGATATCCTACTGAATGGTGTAAACTCCGTCACCTCTGAGTCCAGTGCCCAGTGAACATAACACATTAACTGCCCCGGGGCAGCTAGAACCAGCCTTTCCTACCCCTCCCCCGTCGGTTTCCCATTCACCATCTCGCTCGTCCTTGTCTGGAACCTTCCTCATCCAGACACAAGGAGCGCCGGCCTGTTCCCTCCTCAGACCAGCTGCTCCAACAATGCCACAGTCATCCCCTGACCCCCCCCCGTCCCTGCCTAACTGCCAGTCTGCCCCCCCCAGCACAGCCCCACCCTTCCCGCCCCCCCCCCCCCACATCCCTGACTAACTGCCAGTCTGTCCCCACAGACAGAGCCCCACTCTTCCCGAACCCCCTCCCCCACATCCCTGACTAACTGCCAGTCTGTCCCCACAGACAGAGCCCCACTCTTCCCAACCCCCCCCCCCACATCCCTAACTGCCAGTCTGTCCCCACAGACAGAACCCCGCTCTTCCAGTCCCCCCCACATCCCTGACTAACTGCCCGTCTGTCCCCCCCACAGACAGAGCCCCCTATTTATTAAGTCTTCCCCCTACTCCAGGCAGTGTGGTCATATCCCTGATATGCCTATGCAGTGGGGTACCCAGGTTTCTCATGGTTTACCATCAGCACTGGCCCTATGCACAAATCCTAAGAGATCATGCTGTGAAGTTGGTTTTCATGCTGTGAAGTGGTGGGAGAAATCACAGGGTCTATATATTCCCAAAACATGGTGTGCAGCTGCTCAGCATCTTTGAGAGGAAAGATTAGAGATCTCCCACCTTTTTCCTCCCACCCACC